ATTGGTTAAATGCTTTAATATGAAAATACACATCTGTAAGCAGTGCAGCTAGGGGAAAAGTTTTTAAAGGAAGTGGACAGACCATTTGGAATTATTTAATAATAATTATTAAAAATATATATATATTAAGTATAGTATAGTATATAAGTATTCATGGACAAAATATAATTATTTATATATTTTTATAATTTATCAGTCTGTGATTCAGATTTTAGGCCAGCAGAGAAGGTCTTGCAGGCCCTGACGGCCCGCCACTGGTACCAATGGATGATCATCTAGTTTCATATGATAAGATTTGACTATAGCTTTAGCTATAGCCTCTAAAAGACAGTGTGGAGTGAAAGAGGGAAGGATAATGTAGTGGCCAATCAGATTTCAGGAGTGGCCAGTGCCACCCCAGGCCCCCCTGTAGACATTCCCCTGTGAGTCAGGAGATCCAATCAGAGTGTAGCAAGATATACAGTATTGAGGCAGGAGGTGGACAGATGCAGATCGCTCCAACCAGAAGAATCAGTACCTCATCTGAGATCAGCTGTGCAGTTTATGAGAACCATGTGAACGAGACAGCACACCCACTCTGACTTGTAGGTCAGCTTTTATTCTTTCCATTCAGGGTCATGTGAGTGGAGCCTGTCCCAGCATGCATTGGGTGGAAGTAATGGAAGGCTGACTGATGCCAGTGGGCTACTTGAGAGCCCGGCACCAGGAGGAAGTGAATTTGGGGGCTGTTAAAATTTGTGAGAGGGCAATTTCTTTCATAAAATAAAATTTATTGATTTAACCACGCAAAATAATACATTTATTAATCAGAGCACTAATAAATCAGTTTAGAATCTAATCTAAAAATTATGTTATAAGAAAGAAATGGAAAGACATTGAAGTCACCTGACTGATCAGCTGTTTCTGCACTCATTCGCATTGTCTTTTGCCAAAGCACGAAAGTCGATTAAAATCTGCAACATATTTGGATGGAAACATGATTCTTCATAAGGTAACTGCGCATTTTGGACTGTGGTTCTAGGATACCAAAATGATCTAGAAGAAACCAATGAACCCTCGTAGTTAGAGGAGATTGAATAAATGTTACATGTTAGTCCCAATTTGCAGGGGAAATACTTTTACAGAACTTCACAAGTGAGCTCAGTTTCTGCTGCAGAAATGTGTTATTTCCTGTAATTTTCCTGTGTGGAGTTTATTTTCAGCTGTTTCAGCATGTTTCCCGAGGCTGTTAGTGATCAAATTAAAAAACCTCAAACTTTCACTGTAAAAGTTTATTTTGATAAAATTAAACAACTTGATAATACAGTACATCATATACGGACGGTAGACTGCCCACAGCGAGTTTCACACCTCCAAAATTACATTAAAAAAGCGGTGAAGCTGGATGGTATTTTTGATTTTTTTCCCCCTCCAAGAATATCATCATTGTGTCCTATAAATATCTGGTACAAAAAGAATGAGTTACAATATAAAGAAAAATATGTGGAAATGTTTGTTTTAAGCCTTCAGAGCAGACCACGGTCACAAAACACAACTGCAACAAACTGCTGCTTTTACTGGAACTGCCAAAACACACAATACAGTCCTGATGTCAGATCAGAATAACAAAAAGTTAGAATCAGAAATGATTGGACTTCATTCCTCACTTGGAAACAAATGTTGAACGTAGCACTGAGGTTGACTGTTGTGATTTTGCTTCAATACTGTGACATCAAACCAGTGATGAATATGCTGCCCTCCAGTGTCGGTTAATTACAACATTTAACAACAAAACCTCACGTCTCTGAACGGGACACAGGGGTGGGCTGAATAAAACGAAGCAAATAAACAAGTAAATAAGGAAAGCTATTGTTTTTCTCTTGTGTCAGACAAAGCAGAGAGTGTACTTTGTTCATCATATCCTCAAACTGAGCAAACAGGAAAAAAAACGGGTACGAGTGGGATAGAAACTGAACTGAACATGAGGTTAGCAGTCACTGAAAGGCTGTGAAGTCAGACGCTCGTGCTTTCAAAAGGTCGATGAATGCGTTTCTTTAATTCAAACACACTCCACAGAGCCAAATCCTAAGCTAACGTTGCAAAACTGATAGGCTTCCGTTCCAGTGGTGCCTTCCTGCAAGCTAACAGGTGAGTGTGGACTTGTTGTCATGGTAACATTACTACTATACTACTAAGGCAGTAGAATCAAATAGCCTAAAGATAAACCACTATTTTTCACATTTACAGTGTCGAATCCACAAATCAATTCTCAGATGGTTTGATTATCCCCGTTTAAAAAAAAAAAAAAGTATGTCGACATGGCAACCAGGAGAGATTCTGCTCCCAGCCAAGAAATAGAGAAGAGAAATAAAACCACAACTTGTTGTTTTTATACTTTGGTTTTTATATTGAAAATAATGAGCTACATTGTGTTAATCATTGAGCTTTCAGGGTGCTGGTGGGTGGAGTTCATTACCTTTGGACAGAGCCAGGCTAGCTGTTTGGCTAAGATAAGCTAAGCGACTCCCAAAATATTGAATTGATTTTACAAAACATCAACCTATTATCAAATTATTCTGGTTATGGCTGGCGTGTTAGCAAATGATTGCTTTCCTTCAGCAGATAGGGAGCAACATTAGCATCTATTTTGAGTCTAATATCCATTTTCCTTTTAGCTCTGTCGCTGTGTCTGCTGTTTGGTGCTGAAAACAGATCCCTGCTGCAGGAAATGAGGTCGATGAGAGCCAAGAGACTGAATCGAAACAGCAAAAACTAACCAAACGGGCCGGTAAACCAAAACAATAGCTAAAAAGACGCTAAAACACTCTGTAGAACCGCAGATTCTCTGAAATTTGGTCACTACAGTCGACTCCCTTCACATTATGTGCAGTCATCCATTGATCCATTGTTATAAAAACATTGATTAGTGCACCAAAATCACAATGTTTGCCTTACAAATGGCTTAAGCATTGTTATCATTGAGTTTGGCAAGTCAATTAAACCATGTCCCTCATGTAAATATAAAGCATATTCTTAATTCAAATACTTTAACATTGTTCAACAAATGTCTGATATCTGAAGTTGTTGTACTTTATAATAGAAAAAAGCCAGCTCCAGCCCCCTGTGACCCTCCAAAGGCTAAGCAGTTAAAGATAATGGATGGATGGATGGATGGAAAAAGATTTCAGTAAAAACTGTGTACTTCCAATATAACTCAGTTTAACCACATTTCTGACACAATATACACTTAATCAAGAGCTAAAAATCTAGATATTATGCCATGAACATATATCTTCTTTTTGTGATCAGCACAATAGGAATCAACAAAAAAGAATCTAAAAACCTGCATAAACATAAAGAAATCAGTGCATTTAGTCACGTGAGTTGTCCTCTTTTTACTCTGTGTTCCGAAGAAGGCGATTTCCTAGAGAGGATCCTTTAGAACAGCTCCTCTGGAATGGTCCATTTGTACAAGACAGCAAAAAAGACAAAAAGCAATAATGTAAGAGTCATTAGCCCCCCCCAGTCTCAGCCAGCCCACAGGCATCCACAGTTCAGCTGGAAGGGCAGCAGAAGGGCACTTAGTCAAAAAAACCAAACATAAAAAACAAAACTCTTCTTCCACACACTCCTCACTCCATATCTGCAGAGGTAAGTGTGTGTGGACCAGTCCTGGAATTACTACACTGCTGTTTTGTTGACTGACCTGTTCCCTCCATTCGGTTTAAAGCCACACACAGAATGGTTATTTGGTAACCAAAGAGAGATTAAAGCAAAGCCTCAAAGTATTAAAAGTCCAATTCTCAGTACAAAATACAGTCCGATTTTGATTCAAAACTCCATTCAGGCCTGAAATTAGTCTTTGAAGAGGTTCACACTGGTGGAACTGTGCTGGTTAATTTACATTTCTACATCCATTAGCCCCAATTCACAAAATCAGATATTTAGGACTTTTGTCTCCATTTGAGAAAGACTTGGTAAGCATTTTTGGAGCCGTGTGCAGTGAAGGCAGGTCAAGGATTGGGTGGCGTTCTTAAATATCCCATTAAATGGAATTAACATCTGCCGGCACATCTGTTGGCTCATCGTGTGGGTAGCTTGTGTCATCTGTTTTTTAAAACGTTTTCCTTAAAGCTCATCAGCAACGTTCACAACCTCTAATGTTGAGATTGTGGTAGTCAAACGTCGCTGTCTCTGGCCCTGCATTTGTCACAATCTTTCCTGAACCTGTCTCTGACATGGAGGTGAGCGTGTGTTTGTTAGGAGAAGTCACTGTCCTCAGCCCCGTACAGGTCAGCTAGTTTCCTGAACCTGGGCCCCCAGTCACTCAGGTAGTGGTAGTCCTGCTCGGCCTCAGATGACGCTGAGCCCAGTGAACTCAGTGACTCGGCCACCGAGCCCGCGCCCTCGTAGGCGTAGGTGGCCAGCGAGTCGTACGGCGGTGCTGTCGGGTTACAGTCGTTCTCTAGCACTCTCTGATTGATGAACTCGCGTACGTCCCCGTTGTCCCGTGCAGCAATGCTGACTGGCGGCATGATGAGGCCGGAGGGGGCAGGGGCTGGCCGGCGGTGCGGTGGGTACAGCAAGGTGTCGGTGGGGATGATGTCACGCCTCTGTTTGGCGGACTCCTCCAAGGCGGCGGCGGCATCCGGGTGTCGCAGTGCACCAATGTCGAAAGCCTGGGTGTCCTCCTCACCTCCGCCCTCGTCATTGTAGCTCACCACATTGTCCCGGACATCCTCCTTGGAGATGATGAGAGGTTCCTGCTTTCTCTGGCGTTTCAGCGCCGTGAACAGAACCACGATCACTGCAAGAATCAACAGAAGAAAGATACGGGATAAGACAATTTTACAGTGAACAGCAGTGGTTAGAATATACAACCAATGAGGACACATATTGAATCAAATCCAGAAGCTTTATGAGAGGCATTGAAGCCAATTGCATCCATCACATGATGCACACTGACCCAACAAACCAGTGGATCAGCTGTCATAGAAATGAATGGAACACTGTAGTTCTCTTTATGCATCAACCGTTAGCTAGCTAGTTACATCTAAAATCTGAATGTTTCTAGTTAGCTAGTGTTTTGCTAACATTAGCTAACTTAAGATGTGACTATATATAATTAATAAAGTCACATCACGATGTTGTTGTCTTTCCAACATAGATTAGCCTAGCGCATAGCATATCTAAGTACAGGAAAGGAAAAATTAATCAAGGTTCTAACCGAGGCTTGCTCAACTGTTATTGGAGCACAGAGCAAAAAGGGGTGGAACTTAAGAAGGGTCAACTGATAATGAAGCCAGGCAGTCAGTATGTGTGACTGGGGCTGGCTAAGTATGATAAGTCGAAGTTGAACCAACTGGGTCTGTAAACTGTAATGGATGTTTACAACAGTTTTACATTTGTTTTCTCTTCCAAAATAAATTTGGCTAACCTGGGGATCTGTTTATAACCAGTCTGGTTGTCTGCCATATTTCCAAATCTAAGTAACTCACTTGGTGAGTAAAATCTTACTAGTACAGATAGAAATGATGGCAAAAACTTAAAAAAAAATAAGACCCAGGTCAGTCAGCTAACCTCATGAACATGGAAAGGGTGCGTTAGATATATGTTGCAGTATGAGTGTAAACAGAGTACGATTTTGGTGTGAAGATGTGTGCCACAGCTTATCTTAATTCAGTCCAACACATAGAACTCTAAACGAGGTGTAGCTGCATTATATCCCGAAATCAGCGTAAAAACAAGAGGGCTGCACAGGCAGTTACAGGCAGACAGAAAGGACAGCAGCCTTTGATTTCAGAGAGGGCTCAGCCATAAGTAATCATGCAGAACATTTGATTGGCTAAGCTCATGCAGGCCAGTTTGAATTTAAATCAAGTGAGAGCAGAGCGGCAACAAGAAAGAGCAGAGGCGGAGTTAAGGTCAGGGAACTGAAATAACCGATAATGCATACACAGTAGCAAGGAAAATCACAGCATGAAATGTCTGCAGAGGAGCAGGAGAGGGTGAGCTGTGATGTGAATGAGAGAATATCAGATGGTGAGTGAGAAAGTAAAGGTAAATATAGTGGCAGAAAGATTAGTATAGATAAAGTAGGCAGTTACTGTATAGTGTGTACAGGGGAGAGTCTGCTGAAAGATGGATGAACAAAAATTAAATAGTAAATGTGATGGTTGAGGCGATGATAAATACATTCATATGCATATCAGCACTACTAAAATACTACAGCTTAAGGCTGTGTTTTCATTACCATGTTAAATATAATTCGACACAATGAGATGTCTCTGAGGAACCAGACTGAGAACTAGCTTCACCATTTGCTCTTCTTTCTGGTATAAATGCACGTCTGAATATATTTCCTGCTGTTATCACACATTTTCTCAAAGGCGGGTTCACCCCATAAAATCTACTTCAGTTGGTGAAAACATGAAAAGTTGTACGTTTGTATTCAGTTACAAGCACACCAGGACTTAATAATTTAGATCAACTGTAGATGGGTGTGATGGACCTGTCTGCACCCTGTGCTGTTATTTCTCCTCTCTGGTGTTCGTTTCAGCTGAGAGCACTTGAAGAACTATTGTAGCTGAATATGAGCAGCAGTGTCCTCTGTAGTTCCTCAGTTCATTTTAGAGCTGCTGTTTATTATATCTACATCTATTTCATTACATCAGCTAGAGTTACTGCCTCGTGGTTGTGTGACTCTGCCAACCAGCCAAGCTGCAGTTTATATCCAGATCATATCATATATGGTGTGAAGAGTTTGAAGGAATTTAATCAAATGTGTTTAATGTATTTTTTGTTTCAAGGCGGGCACCCAAGATTGCTGTCACCAATTCAGTATCCAGCCAAATGTTGCATCATGTTGTTTTGTACTGTAATACTGTGTCATACTGCACTGAACCTTACTGTGTAATCTTTCTGGTACTGGCCTGTACTGACTCTGTGTGTTTCCATTGTTAAATAGCACTGACTCAGTTTAGCTCTTTTTTTGATCAAATACAAATATATTGAGTTGTAACAGCAGCTTTACATATTAAATCCAATCATGCGTGTTTTAAATGTATACTTTTTAAGGTTCCCTAATAAATAACAAAGCTAAACAGAGGCCTGTGTTGAACTGCAGTGCTCCTTTTGATTGCAACATTTTTCTGATTAAAATAATCCGATTAAGGCATTTGCACAACAACCTCTCTGGTCAGAGTACTGCCTTAACCAGGTTAAGGAAGAGTTATTGCTGTGTATGTAAACTTGCTCAGGGTGTATGTGAGTCTGAGTGTGTGCTCTCATCTCTCTGTGCTCATGTATTGTAAGTGTGAACACTGCAGTACAGCACTGCCTACCTCCTGGATTCACACTGCTAGAGTATGTGACTACTGCCGCTGTGTACTGCATGATGTGTGATTTGATTATAGCTGTTGATTACACAGTAAAATAGATCTGATAAGTAGAGGTTGCTCTAAACTCTTTTAAACGTCATCTAACTAACTCCCTGAAAAAACAGAGAGCGAGAGAGTGCTCAAGTGGACTATGTACGAGGACAGAAATGGACAGAAGTCGATCATGGAGCCTGATGTACAACCCTCAGGTTTATCAGTGAAGTGTATGAACAGCACTACAGACTAACAGTGAGGAGTGACGGCTGTCTCATACGAACAGGTTCAGCGCTGGTTGAATCCAGTATCTACACATACAGTGCGCCTGTCTCTTCACTGCCCTGCATTATTACAAACTACTGTATGATGAACATAGTCATAGGCCACATCTTTCGCCCACATGCATGTGCTGCCTCACTCCCTTATCTTCTCCTTGCAGTTTTAATGATTGACTTCAGTGTTCTGACACACAGTACGCTGGTTGTTTGCTGAAAACAAATTTTCTAAAATTGGTGTCAAAAAGTGATCCTAGCCGTTTAAATGAATGCAAAAACTGAATGAATGTCACTCGGCATTTTGTATGACGTCATTATACAGGCTGACTCTCTCTCAGCAGCCCGCAACTCTTCCAGCGTCCCTGGTGTGTGTCCACTAAAGTCTGCAATGACTGCACTTTCAGGAACATAAATATGTATTCATTTTTCCCAGCAGCCCACTGGACTGTGACCACTGCATGAATAACAGGATAAGTGGGGATGTGGTGGCAGATGAGATGCATTCATTTCCATACGAGGTTTGATTCTGACGAGCAGCAGCAGACGTGGTGCTCTGAAGCAACATTGTTTTCCATTATTGCAAATGAGAAAGCACAATGGCTGCTTGTGTTTACCATGCTGTGCTAATGGAACCACTGCTCTGCACTGGGCAGACAGAAGTGTGATCATACATGCTACATGCTGTGTGCATCAACATTTCATTTTATTTCTGTCACAGTATTCTTCCTGCTATTTTTTAATATTTAAATAGCCAAATAAAGAAACATTTTCTTTAAACTATATTTTTTTTCCAGTTATGTTTCTTTAGAATTTCAGTGTCTTCATTGATGTGCATTGTTCCTTTACACATTTTGAAAGGCAGCCTTTGGCCTTATTGTATTCGTTTTGTTGAAAATGCCCTCTAAAAGTGTGTTTCGTAGTATTGTGTTCAAGAGCAGCAGTTCTTCATGGTTACAGAGTAGAAACAACTTTTATTTGACTGTATTATGGAACTGAATAGAAAAGAATACTGCTGGTATTGGAGTTTGAGTTACCAGAAGACAACAGGGGCTCAGCTGGTTGTATTTTCTTCAGTTCTTAAACCATAGGGCTTGGTGATTGATGTCCTATAATTTCAAATTTCTCACCAAGCTATAGAACTTTAAACAACCCTTTCTTGCCCATTTCTGGATGGACATCTTGCAAACAGCATAAAAGCAGGCATCTGCAGAGGAGCAGATATATCCCAAATAACAAGCTTAAAAACATTTAAATGTGGCAACCATGACTGTAAACTGAATATCTTTGCTCTGTAGCAAAACGCTCACAAACTAGCCAACAAGATAGCTACTGATTGATGTAGATTATGTAGTGTGTAACATTCAGGAGGATTTGTGTTTTTTACAGTAGCCTAGAACAGACGTTTTTTGAGAGGTTCGTGGCCACCATAGTTTCTCCTTCTTGCTTGGTTGAGTCTGCAATCTCACTGCTAGATCCTACAAAGTGGTTCTTTAAGATATATAAAGGTATAAAAATATCTCATATATATGTTGCTTTTATCTTTTAACCATCCATATATCTTTAACCAAGGGGCAGGACTTAGAAAGGATCAATAATAAAAAGGGGAATTGTCTTTGATCCTCCAGAGTTCATTTAGAATATGGTTTGAACGATGTGTTTTCGCTCACAATTTTGTCTTATATATTGGTCAAATAATTTTTATATGACCTATACTGGTTGACGTGAGCATTGTTGTGAACACTGACACACACAAACATACACAGTATATTTCCCCATACGTACTCAGCAGTATGATGGCGCACAGGAGGATGGCGATGAGAGCTCCTGTGCTGAGACCAGGTGCGCTGCTCAGAGCCTCTGGATTACACAGCTCCATGTTTCCATCGCGGTCGCAGGTGCACACCCTCACGGTGAGGGTGCCGGTGCTGCTCTGCATGGGGTAGTCGCCGTCGGTAATCACCACGGGAACCAGGTAGACGCTCTGGTGAAGGCGGCTGTAGCTGGCTCGACGTGTCAGGATGCCAGCGGTGTTATCTGAGTGGGAGAAAGTTCAGTTAGAATATCATCGCAGCACACCCGCAGCGCAGGGGTGTCAGACACTTTGTCACACAGCAGAGGTGTGAATAAGATCACTTTATGACTAGGTTGGAAAGAAAAATGTGGGTGCAACAAGGCAGAAATCACTCTTCTATCACAGATAAAGAATGGGTATGGATCTGTTCTACAACTTGGGGAAAAGGAAGTATAAAACCGGGCTTTGTAAACAAAATGTATACTTTCAAAAAGTTTCACAATATCAAAATAGGGTACAACTTGACAACATAGAAACAGTCAGTCACATTGTAGAAAAAATCTATTTCTTACCAATAATGTGTAAAACAGTCACGTTCAAATCTCAGAAATAATAATCTTTTCAAATTACAACCCCATCAAAGGTTAGGAATGTAACTATGATTCTATAAAGGTCAGAGACTGTATATAATACCTGGATTTCCAGCATCTGTGGGGAATGAATGAAATAGCTTTCACAACTTTGAGAATAGATTTCTGTTTTTCAATGCTTTGAATATTTTCATCCTTTTTTAGCTAAGTGGCTGTGGCTTCATATTTAATTGACAGACATAATCTTCTATCATTTATATTTTGGCCAGAAAGCTAATAAGCTATTTCCAAAAATGTTAAACTTGATGACTTGATCTGATAGTTGCATGTACTATTAATAATTATCAACCACAACAACAAATGTGTCTCTTAAATGCGCCTTTAAGTGTCACAGCGCAGAGATTATCCCACCAACAGTCAAGTTTCTAGCAAAATACAACCCAGGTTTATGTAATCTAAGTGTATGGCAGTTCCAGGACAACAGAGATTATTTCCAGGATATTTGGAAATTTTAATCAATTTCCAGGTGTTTCCATCGATGCAAAACTTGTCTCTAAATTTTAAGGACGTGTGGGAACCCTGTCAGATCTTCATAACTTTTGATACACACGTATTCTGGAGCATTACAATTTAGATTCATTACGAAAAATTATAATGTGTTGCTTTTTCTTGTTCCAGTATTTCTATTATGAAGACTATGTATTGCATTTTATCCCTATGGGATAAAACCCCCGAGTGACTAAGTAGTACTAAATATACAATATATAAAGAAATAGCAGTATCTCAGAAACTATATGGAGTCAAATGTAGCATTGGATTGAGAGCAACAAGTTTAATAATATGTGCTTTGATCCAGTCTAAATCTGATATTTAACATATCAATTTGTGATTTAAAAAAACAAAAAAACTTTTGTCTACCAGTTAAGGCATGATAAAAACTCTGTGGGGCTTTTCCTGAACATACTTAATATAGTTCTTAGTCATTAATTTTAGGCACGTTGCCTGGTCAAGTACCTCCGTTATCTCGGACGGTGAAGTTGCTGCGGTGGCTCCCCTCGGGGGCCAGGCTGAAGAAGAACTTGTGTCCCGTTGACGGCTCGTCGGCATCGACTGCGCTCACTGTCTGGATCCGCTGTCAGAGACACCAACATACGTTAGAATGAACATTCTGATGGAGTTAAGTGGATTAACAGAAGTCAATGAGTGGAAAAGGACTGGCAGGGTCCACAGTGACAGTACACACTGCTGTCCTCACTGTGTGCGCCAACACAACAGCTTGGATCTTATCAGGATCACTGGTGTCTGTGCTAAATAAGCCATCAATATCTCTGTCAACAACACGACTCATCAAATAGATTATACTGAAACAGGACAATAAACATTGCAACTGTTTCTTTTTTCACATATTACTTTTTTCTTTGTTCAAAGTTCCCATGCTGCTAATTTACACATCATAACAATAAGTTAAGCAGCACTTTCCTCTTTCCTGTCATCATATATGTTAGTAATTATCAGTTGGAAATGGTTATGTAGCCGTGTAACAGCTATATTTCTTTTTGACATTCTAATTTCATTGCTATCTTTCAGTATTTCTCTCCCTTTTTTTCAAATGTGACAAAACATCCTGCTGCCAGTGGCACTTTGAGGGTTGACAGCAGGACATGAAAGCCGTGTATTTAGCTTTATTTGAGCAAAACAATAAGCGTTTGGATCATACTGAGGGTATGGATTGAGAGCGGAGAAGTGGATTATGCTACAGCAGTGGTTTGAGAAGTTTCTTTGGGTGTTTTGATACTTTTCTTTCTCCCACAGTGTAAACTTGTCACCACTGGGATCCATTGTAGCCGACTGAATTCAAGCTGAGCACAGCTGCTGTTCTCTGTGAAGAAGCATGGTACAAACTTTTTACAGCTAGCTTTCATATCTACAGGGGGTGAGAGCTTCACATGCCAAAGATAGAATTTGGGTAGGGCATCGCTTTAAGCCAACAGAAAAATGCATCCCTAATGGAATCCCAGCGGGTTTCAGGGTGTTGGACGGGTTCAAATGCAGAAACAGTCAGTTTAGTATATAATGTGGGCTTTAATCAAGGTAACATTAGGGCTGAGAATCAATATTGATTCAAATATGACACCTTTTACATTTTTGGTACCAGTAGCAAAATAATAGTAATATCATATTCAGGAAATTTGTTTTAAGCTTTTTTTCATTTAACAGAATATGCTCGCCCACTCAACAATCTGCATTAAATAGAGAATGTCAGCTAAATAAAATATAGTCTAAAGTTCTTTTTTCTAGTTTCTTCTTTCAGCAACGAATGGCTGGCAATGCATTATGGGAATTATCTGCAAAAGTGATAAATATTAAACAGAAATAAGCTTTGTTTCATATATGCATTTTACTGTTCTACTGACCAGTAATAGTCTGACTATTGGTTGTTAAAGCTGCAGTAGGTAATTTTCTCAGATAAACCCATTGTACACCACCTGCCCAGCACCCAACAGCAGACAGACACAGTTAGAGACCAGCTAGTGAACACAGTGGAGCATTTAGCAGCTAAAGATCCAGATTTATTTTTCTCAGGACTTGGTGGAGACCAAAAACAGACTTTTATTCATCAGGTGGACACAAACGTCGTGTCTAATGTCGTTCTGTGTCTGCTGGATGTCTAAATGAGCCATTGTTTAAACAGTCATCATAATAAAAATAAAATCAATTAAAGCATCTTTAATATAGTAATAAATACATATCAGTGCACCGCAGGAGCTGTGGGTGACTGTGGTTGAACCCTGGGGAGCTTTGTGTTCCTGTCAGCTTCTGACTCTATATGCATATATGTATATTTATTTACATTATAAACACAATCTTATTTAATTGAATGGGAGACACTGGCTGAGAGATTAAAGGCTTTAACAAAGATTTGTGCCAATAACACACACACACACACACACACACACACACACATGCGCACGCTCACAAACAAATTCGGAGCCCGGAATAAGCGGCAGAGGATATCCAGCAAACAAATACTGATGATTAACACTGATGGACAGATGAAAGGGCAGAGGAATTAAAGGATGAAAGGATGGCAGGATGACAGGGACGTGAGTAGACCAATGGCAGCAAGCCACCATACTGGAGAATGTCAAGATGATGCTGTGTGTGCACACGTGGCATCAGCATGGAGCAGTTACACCAAACTGCTTTCTTCTGTTATATCTAACCTGTTACATATGTGTGGGTGATTACACAGATTACAGATTTGTATTTTTATTCAATTAAATGTTGCAAGATATTAGATGCATGATATGTGTGTGTATGTGTGTGTGTGTATGTAAAACCCTATTTACAATATTCCATGTGTGACAGCTCCTGCGAGCGACCATGACAGATTAGCTCGTCAACCACCATAGAAGAAGAAATCGAGTGGTCTCCAGGAGCACAGTCAACCATCTCAACTGCAGGACTGTGTGTTAGTGTGTGTGTGTATGTGTAGATGTATAAGCTTGTGCGCTTTAATCACATTAGTTGCATCCCATACAGTACATGATGAATCATATCAAGTGGTATGAAACCATAGTACTGTTTAAAGCATTCAAACTGATCGATAAAATATACAATGTTACAGAGATGTAACAAAGTCAAAGTTGTGTCGCAGTGGACAGTGATGTCAGTCAATTAGGAAGCTAGAGGGGGAGCTAGTTAAAAATGATCCATGTCAATACGTTTGCACTGCAAAAAAGGAATCTCAAGAAAGTAAAAATCCTTGTTTCTGGGAAAAGAGGTCTTATTTTTTGTCTAAAAAGAAAAACTATATTGTCAAACATGTTTTGCATCATCTGGTTTTAAGAAAATATATCTAACTTAAAATATTATAGATAGATATACACTTGCACAACTCAGTTTAACAGAAGTTGTATTGTGTCTTATTGTAAGATATTGTATCGTAAGATTTTTTGCCAATTATTAATCTTAAATTCTTAAATTCAGCTCAATACAGTGACCAGAATACTTATTTTAAGAAAGTCTATTTTAAGTTTTAAGAATTCTAGCCAAGCAACATTAGCTTACCCCTTTTTACTCAATCTATTTTTTTTTTTATTTTTTTTTTTACAAAAATGTAATTATATTTAAGAATATTTGGCTTTTTTCTAGAAGGGCTGTTTTTACAGTGCATTGGTTCATTGGCTGTGTAAGACAAGTAGGCAGGAAATAAGAAAGCCTAATGTAGCAGTTCAGCATTAAAAAAATATTTTTCAGATTGTTGCAATGTGTTTTTGGTTATAAATTCTTCAAATAAAAACAGGAGACATGCTGGCCTACATTCATCGAAACCCAGTACAAGGGTCAGTGTGGTAGTAATGGCTGATTCCAAGCAAATACTGTGTTTCTATTCATAACAGGGGATTACCAGCTCACTTTAGCCTCTTGCACTTGGCATGTCCCATAAGTGATTTATGAAAGCACATCAGTGTACAATAACGCGCCACCTGCTCTGGGTGGCCTGCAGAGCCGGTTCACATTCTGTACTTGAGGTTGTTCAAGTTCAGTGTTTCAGTGCACTAGAATAATGTCACAGAGCAGCCCCTTTATGAATCATGAGTAAACAGCAGCTCACCACTATGTGTGTGTGTGCGTGTATAATTGTGTGAGTAATTTATTTATTTCTGTAGAGGACTCTCTATCTCTGGTTTATGACAACTTGGCAGGGTCGTAGTGACGATTGAGGATACTGACTTTATATGTGGTATTTTTGTCAGTTCGGGGGTTTATATTTTCAATAAAAAACGTACACATTGTGGGTATATTTAGAAGCTGATTCCGGTGTTTTTAGACTTATCAACTTTTACACCAACAAAATGATAAATACATAAACGCTTCAACATTTCTAGAAGTGTGGAGAAGACTTTGTATTTTAATTTAATTATATTTACAAATATAATTACAAGTACAGTTGGACAGTTAAAGCTGCAGTAGGTAACTTTTATAACATTTTTGGCATAATTGCTGAAACTTTTTCTTTATCCTAACAGTAGAACGTGAGACAGATAATGTGTGAAAAAATCAGGTTTTTTCTGATTTTAACCTTTTTCACACATTATCTGTCTCATCTACTACTGTCAGGATATAGTGAATGTTTCTGATAGAAATTATGGCCACAATTTCATAAGTAAGTGAAGTGTAACGCTGACACCAAATCTGCCTATTTTAGGACTATAAATGAGAAGGACATATGTACACAGGTCTCAACAGGGTAAAATGTGCATGAAACAGCATGGTACTGGTTGCGATGACGGAAGACTCTAACTACTTATTGCAGCAGGAAAAACAATCAATACCTTCAACAGCAGCCAGATATGCACAGCTATAGCAGGAGAGTGTTTATAGAGTGTTTATAGAGCTACTGCCTATTCTTAGTGACTTTAAGACGCTGTTAGTGTTTGTATGGGATTATTATGCTAATTTAGAATCGAATGCAGTTTTTTCCCCTGACAGTGCAGTCCTGTCCTGTTCCACTTTGTGGTCTGTCTGTCATTTCACTGCACAGAAAGCCCCTGCTGGCTAAGGTGAAGTTGTAATTAGCAGCTTCTCCACATATCCTCAGCAGCTACTGTAAAATTACTCAGATGATTGCTGAGGAACCTGTGTTTAAAACAGGATATCACAAAATTACGGCTTTTTTGTCATTCATTCTGTTTTTTCTTGAAGCATAGAGGCAGTTGAGTGTTCTGGATCAAGCTCCAGTTAAAATACTTGCATTTGCAAAGCTATGAGGTTAACAAATCTCTATTGAATCTTTCATCCCTCGTTGCCCGTATTTGCAAAGAGAAATAAAACATTCATGTGGCAGGATTCTCAGTATTAGACAGCTCTGACCTCTGCTCAAAATGACAAACGTAGCTGGTGGCAGGTTACATCAGCTGTCACTAATTAATGTTCATTCTGTGAGTAACCTTGATGAAAAAGACCAATACGTGTCCATTTGGTTAATGTGCTCCCTGTGAGCCAGTGTCTTCTTTCAGCCAGAGATGGTTTGCTAGAGAAAGAAGAATTACTAACAGCGCTCTACATGTATGATCTTGAACGTACTGCATTTTATTTTGTTCAGCAAAACCAACAACGTTGGTTCGCAACATTCTCAGGAGTCTTCCACTTAAACTTTCATGAATATTATTATAAGTTAAAGATTATCTATTTAATAGTTTTGAATCAGGACTGTCAGTGTTTTGAGCAAGTACTTTGAGAAAAAAATTAAAACCTTTATATCAGATTTATGTTTACAATTCTTATATTCAGGTGATTATACACTAATATAATACTATCTTATATTCTACTTTAAAAAAGTGTGAAGTGATGAGGCTGTAGTACCTGGCCGGCTTTGGTCCTCTCACAGACAAAGGTTTCATACACGGTGGCGAAGGTGGGCGCGTTGTCGTTGATGTCCAGAAGGCGGATGTAGACTGGAACATGGCTGGTTTGACGGGGATTATCTGGAAGGCAAACACAGAAAGAGTTTCATGCTGGGGAAAAACTTAACACCCCACTCCGCTTTCCCACAATTCCACATTATCACTGTGTGAGCTATCTGGTCCAGCCTCAACTATTCTACTGACGGCTACCACTGAGCAGCTCATTGCTTTGCTTAAGGGCAGCTTGTCAGCATCTGATGAGGCAGAAAGTTGGAGTGTTAGTCATCCACATTTCCCCTCCTGGTCACGAGCTGTGTCTTTAACCTCTGAGCTCACACATAAACATAAAAGATGGAATATGAGAATGTGAAAGAAAACAATATAAAAGTTTTCAAGGTTTTCAAGATGAAATACAATACATTGGCAGATTTTTCTGAACCCAGGTTGGTTTATAGAGTCCTGTAATTGTCCCAGCATGTCTCAGTTCAATCCTGGAAACCATCAGGCTTCCATTTCACATTTGTGCCAAATTGTTTGTCAAATTGGATATCTGATATTAATCAAACCTGGAACTAGAAATGGAAATGATTTATTTAACAAAGCTAAACAATATTTCAGGAGATTCTGTTTTTATCTTTCCTTTATTACAGGCTCCAGTGTTTTCTTCATGATTACCAGACAATCATCAGTGTCCAGCAGAGTCTCAGCACTAAGCAACACAGCGTGACCAAAAACCATTCGCTTCTTCTGTTTCTGCGGATCCATACTACTGATGGGTCGCTCTGCTTCATGTTCATGGCCACAGCAGGTTAATGACATATGTATGTTTCTTGTTCTTTACATAGCTGTCAAGAGAAAACAAAGAGCAAAACTCTAAGTGTGTGTGACGTGGCGGCTGTGGCTCAGAGGAAGAGCGGGTTGTCCACTAATTGGAAGGTTGTTGGTTCAATCCCTGGCTTCTCCCACCATGTGTCAAAGTATCCTTGAGCAAGATGTATGAATGCATTAGTTTCTGTTTGATGGGCTTTGTCATCACTGAGTGAATGTGTGAAAGGGCGAATGTGGCATGTAGTGTAAAAGCGCTTTGAGTGGTCGGAAGACCATACAAGTACAGTTCCATTTACCATGTTTCAGCAACAGAGCTGAGAACAGACAGAAACAGAAACAGAGAAATTTGAAGGAGCTAGCCTAAGCCTACTGGCCACAGGTTCTGAACGCACAGCCGTTGCCGTAGTCAAAATCTCCTTTTGTTGGCATAGCCCTTAAAAGTCAAATCCATTAAAAAAAACAGATTAAAAACAAAAATGTAGTTTGAAGGAGACTCCTGAATCTGCACGTGCAGCCATTGCCAACTGGAGAGGAGTTGTATTGGAATTTT